GAGAGATAGTCCACCTGCTACCTTCCTGCAGGGAGGCCATGGAGGGAGGGGATGTGTATTAAGGGTGGGTGCTGCATCAATAAAACGACAGCCCAGGCAGTGGAAGACATAACTTCTTGTTCTGCCTTCCTGTGGAGTCTTCAGCAAAACCATCACTACACCTTGATGATTGTGGCCTTGATTCTCTTTTCAATAAATGCAAAAAAGTAAGGCATTAATCTCTAGTCTGACAATCTCTTCTTTTTAATTAGAATGTTTAGACCATTTACATTTAGTGTAATTATCAATAGGGTTGGGTTTCAGCCTGTCCTCCTCCTGTTTGTTACATCTGATCTCCACATTTCCTTCTTTTGGATTTTTTTTTAATGATTTTATGTTATCTCTATCATTGGCTTATTAGCTACAGCTCTTTGTTTTATTTTTAATGATAGGTCTAGGTTTAAAATACATTTTTAACTTAGTGTAGTCTACCTTCAAATAATATTATACTCCTTCAAATACCATGTAAGAAACTAACAACAGTGTACATCCATTTTCCCCCTTCTGGCTTTCATGCTATTGTAGTCATAAATGTTATTTTACATATGTTATAAAACCAATAATACACTGTTAATATTTTTTGATTTAAACAGTCAATTATCATTTAAAGATATTAAAAATTAGAAGGTCTTTTATACTTACCTACATATTTACCATTTCTGGTCTTTATTCCTTTGTGTAGATCCATATTTCCATTTTATATTATTCTCCTTCTCCTAGAAGAAGTTTAACATTTCTTGTGGTGCAAGCCTGCTGGCCATCAGTTATCTTGGTGTTTTTAATCTTAAAATCTCCTTATTTACCTCCACTTTTGAAAGATATTTCTGCTGGATAGGTGTAGAAGTCTACATTTTTTTGTGGTTTTTGTGGTTTTTGTTTTTGTTGTGTTGTTGTTTTTTAAGATGCTGCTCCACTGTCTTCTGACTTACATAATTCCTAATGCGAGGTCTACTGTCACTCTCATCTTTGTTCCTCTGTATATAATGTGTCTTTTTTCTCTGACTGCTTTTAATATTTTCTTTTTATCACTGCTTTTCAGCAATTTGCTTATTAGGTGCATTGCTGTGGTGTTTATATTTCTTCTGCTTGGGGTTCATTAAGATTCATGATTTGTGGGTGTACAGTTTTCATGAAATTTGAAAAAAATTCTCAGCCATCTTCAAATATTTTTTCACCTGTTCTTTCTCCCCTCTCATTCGAAGATTCAAATTGTATGTACGTTAAACTGCTTATTGTTGTCCAAGCTCTCACTGAGGTTTTATTAATATTTTTTGTGTTTTTTCTCTCTCTCTCCTTATTTTGGATATGCCTGTTATGTCTTCAAGTTGACTGATTTTTCCTTCTGCAGTTTCTAACCTTCTGTTAATCCCATTGAGTATATTTTCATTTCAGCTTTTTTTTTTTTT